TGCCCAAATAGGGCAAGTTGGAAACCAGCCAGTAATTAGCCAATTTGGCCGGATCCAAAGATGGTTTTTTCAAGAGGGGACGAACCATGGCCTCCTTAAGTGCCCCAGGGAACAGGCCTTCAGTGAGGGACTTATTAATAATTTCCCATAGGGCACCTTGGAGCCCAACACAACCAGCTTTAACTAGCCACGATGGGCATGGATCAGGGAGACACATGGTGGGACGTACAGTCAAGAGCAATTTGTCAACTTACTCTAGCCTGAGTGGACTGAACTGATCCATAATTTGACTAGAAGATGTACATGGAGCCTTGAGTTCACTCACTGTCTCAACTGTGGCAGGGAGGTCACAGCGGAGCAACAAGACCTTATCTGCGAAATAGCTCACAGAAGCTTCACAGCTAATGTCCAGTTCCCTAACTGGGCAGAGTCGTCATAGACCGAACTGTTCTAAACAACTGGGCTGGGCATGAGCTCGCAGACGCAATCGAAGCTGCGTAATACTCTTTCTTCACAGATCCAACCTTGCGTAATGGGAGACTGTGCTACCCATGATCCTCCTGAGATGCATGGGTGCAATTTTGCATGAACAGAGCCAACTGTAGTAGTGACCAGCTTTGTTGCACATACAAACACATGGCTGCCACAAATCTGGGTTTCTGACTGTGAGTACCAAGGCTGAAAAATATTTACATTGCCATGTTCATGCAAAATTGCGACCAAATGTATTAGAAGGACACCAAGTAGCATATTGTCACATTACAAAAAATTAAGGTTACCAACCTCCAGGTAGGGCCAGGAGTTCTTCCAGAATTACAGCTGGTCTCCAGACCACATAACAAGACACATATGAAGCTGTCAGGAACAAGCCCTATACAAAAATGCAACAGAAATAACAAACAGATGAAATTGACCAGTGAAAGAGAATGAATGAATCTTCAACAATATGGACTGAAAGGTTGTATATATTTGTATTTTATTAAGGTTGTTCAGAAGAATTGATGTTGTTCAGAGGAAGTTTCTTCAAAACGGAACTTGACTCCGGGGATTTTCATCAACCCATCTTCTACTTACCTTTCAGTCCATATTGTTGAAGATTCTTTCATTCTCTTTCACTAAAGGACTTTCATTGGTCAATTTCATCTGTTTGTTATTTCTGTTGCATTTTTGTATAGCACTTGTTCCTGACAGCTTCCTATGTGTCTTGTTATGTGCTTTTTGTGGCTGTGACCTTCTACTATTTATCACATTGACTTAGGTCTCCAGACCACAGACATCGGTGCCCCTGGAGAAAATGGCAGATTTGAAAGGGGGGGCTTCCCCACTGAGCTCCCTTCCCTCCCGATACGCCACTCTCCTCAGGCTCCACCCCCCAAATCCTCTGGAATTTTCCAACCCCAAGTTGGGAACCCTAATGTAGTTTCAATAATACAACAACTGAAACAGGCTTTTAAAGAGCTACCTACTGCTTTGTAGTTTTGCATTGACTCCAGACTTGGCATCCACCAAAGCAATGTCCTTTCATTCCCCTTTGTATCATTGCAAAGTGTTTTACAATGCCTGGGAGGATAGACAGGAAAGTAGATATGCCAGAGATAAGCATCTACATGCACCAGTATGGTAGATCACAGAGTCATCCTGGGTATATTAGAGCACTCTAAAGTCCAGGTACACCTTTAGAACTTGCATTCAAATTCTGAAACACCATATACAGTTTCTTACGAGCATTTAAATTCTCCAATCAACTAAAAATAAACTTATGTTAGCAACTTTCTAGAAAGCCATTATCTGAAACTTATTTTGCAGCTATTATATCACTGCTTAAGCTGTTGACAAGACATAAAGTACAAGATCTAGATTGTTCTTCCCATACTAATAGAGGATATGGATATCAGCAAACCTAATCTGAAATCCTGTAGAGTTAAGATGAACAGACTATAGTACCTGGCTGCTACATTATCTAGATTCTAGAGTATGGTGTAATACAGCCTAGATGTTATTGTCCTGAGATCTTGACATCTTCCTTACTTTCATAACTAAACCCTAGAGTATTAACCAGCCACCTGTGTTCATGATAGTATCTAAACTACCCCAGCCTGGGGAAATTCCTACGTATGAATAACGAGAGAAAAACACAAGATCTATCGTGTTCCTTTGTTTGCAAAGGAGTAAATTTAAAAATTAGAAAGAGTCCTGGGATGAGAGATGCCTTAGAATCTATCTTTATAAAATATGAAACACTGAACAAAGTTATCTGGGGGGAAATGAAAACTTTTATGACTGAAGATTGTAGTCAACATGGCAATGCTTAACAGCAACCAGATCCAGACTTCTAAGGTTTAAAATGGGTTCTACGTTTTTTTATGTACTTGCTAATGTATGGGAATCCCAATATGGCTGGGAAAATCTGAAAAGTTTAACATTGCATTGTGAATGCCACATTTTACTATTCCCTGCCTCTAGCACAATGTCAGAGCAGTGCATAGCAGCATCCAGATTTTACAGTTCACATAAAGTCAAAAAAGTATGACTTGACTCTGAAATAATTTTTATCCTAAGTTAAACCTGTGCAGTTAGGTAGCCACAAACCCACTGAAATCAGTGGTCTTAAGCACACTCTGTAAAGATTTGTAGTCTTACAGTGTCATCTGAAGCAGTTATATACCCTTCTAAGCCTATTGACTTAGGTGGGTGTAAGTCTTTTTAGGATTGCAGTGTTAATATTTACTGTAATTCTAAATTTAATTACAAGGAATTAAATCCCACTGAATTTGGAATTTATTTCTGAGCAATCATGCATGGGATCAAGCTTAAAAATTAATGCTTTGTATTATACTTGGAGAGTGTGTTTAAAGAATGCTCCTATGTACATTAAAACAAATATGATTTTTGTTTAAATTCTTCAAAAATATTATAATCCAGTTTTGTAACTGGTTGAAATACTGCACATCAAAAATGTGGCTGTGGCAATGTATTTTTGTGGAGAAACACAGTGGTTTCTTATGACTATTAGAAAAATAATGTATTTTCTGTCCCCAGGGCACTAATATTCTATTCTAAAAAAAACTAGTTGCACCCTAGTAAATTATCTTTCAGACCCTTTAAGGTAATGGAGCAAAACTTCTATTTCATGTGCCTTCCATCTGCATTATGTAGCTAAACTGCCTGAATTCTCAGAAGCAGACAGTGAATGACACATACAAGCATGCAAACTATCAAATAATAACAGAAACCTTTATTTAAACATCCAGCCTAATGAGTTTTGGAGAATATGAAAGTTTGCACATCGTTTTGTATTACTCTGGTTGCTTGTAGAGGTATTGACATGGTTTATTTTTGGATTTTACTGTGGACCACGGTAATAATGTACATGGTATAGGATTGTTTAGAGAATTTATGGATTCCATTTGTGAATGGAATTGTATATGTATATTAGGTTTGTGTACTAAATAGTATTTGTTACTTAATAATATACAATATTTAAGACATATTTGGTTGATTACATTTTTTGCATGGTGTGTTTCTTGTCTATTATAAGTGAAAAAGGCAAACTCTATGTTAGGGATTTTTAGGAAAGGGATTGAGAATAAAACAGCCAATATTGTAGACCTGTACAGATCTATGGTGTGGCCTCATTTGGAATACTGTGTACAGTTCTGGAAAAAGTACAAAGGAGAGGACAACCAGGTTGATTAGGGGGTTGGAGCACCTTCCCTACGAGGAAACTCTGAAAAGTCTGGGACTAAGGGGTGTGTGTCGTGATATAGGTTTATAAACTTATGTATGGGGTGGAAAGATACTAGATCTGAACAGTGTCCAATGAAGCTGATGGGCAGTAGGTTCTGGACGAACAAAAGGAAATAGTAATTTACACAGAGAGTGATTAGAATGTGGAAGTCACTGCCAGAGGGTGTAGTGATGGCCACAGGAATAAACAGTTTTGAAAGGGGATTAGACAAATTCATGAAGGACTACTAGCCATGGTGGCTGAGGGAAACCTCCGCATTCAGAGGCACTAATCCTTTGAATCCCAGAGCCAGCCAGGAGGCAACATCAGGGGAAGGCCTCGGCCCCTATGCCTGTTTGGCCCTCCAGAGGAACTCCAGACAGGACGCTGGACCATTGCTCTGATCCAGCAGGGCTGTTCTTAATATAGTTGCACGCAACCTCTGCATCGACATGCCTTACACTGAGGGTCGGGGGAAGAAAACTTGTCTGAAAGCGCGGCAAGAGCCAGCTTGTCAGATGCGTGCGAGTCTTCCTCGAGAGCGGAACCAGCGGTCACAGAAGCTGTTCAGATTTCGCAGCTACCCGCCTTCCGAGCCGCAAATTTAGCAGCTACCCGCCTTCCGAGATCGTTCCTCTCCTTGGCGCTGGCGGAAGCAGCTGCTAATAAAGGGGTGTTGGAAGATTATACAAACTCATACAGGCACTTCCGGTTCCGATTCGAGGTCCCGCGCAGCCAACAGATGCCGGACAAGCACGGCCTAGAAAGGCGTTACTGTCACGCTCTACTCATCAGTTCCTTGCCCCGCACGTGGCGACGTCCACATGGAACTCGGAAGTGAAATCTATGCCTGACGCTCCCGCTGTCTCCCTCTCATTTTCCCGGCGGCAGCATCATAAAGCCAGAACGGCGTACAAAGGAACGCAGATGTTCTAGCGGCCACGATTCTCTTGCTGCCACGAGCCGTTGCTGTTGAGTCTGGAACTTAAACCGTTGGATCATAGACCGAAAGTGTTCATGAAGTCAGCGATGACGGTGTGTGACTCCCGAGTGTTCTCTCCCCGCCCTCCATTGGTTCCCTTTGCATCCTCCTCGGTATGAGTCATGGCCCCGGCCCTTCTCACGTGACTCGAGGGAGGGGGAGAGAGGAGGCGGCTAACGTCTCGCTCCGTCTCGCGGCCTTTCGCTCTCCCTCCCTCGGTCGGCCTCCCCCTTTCGCTGGCCGCTCGCGCAGCTGCTCGGCACTCGCTATATAAAGGGGCGAAGCGAGCAGAGCAGGCGGCTGGCGGCTGCAGCCCAAGGGCCGCCGTGCAAGGCCGGGCCGCGGGGGAGGGCGGCTGACGCGCTTTCCCCGTCCAGCGGCGGGGGGGACGGACGGAGGGGGGAAGCCCGCGAGGAGGGACGGAGGGGAAAGGGACGGGGAGGAGAGGCCGCTGGAGCTCGGCCGTTGTCTGCCGGGGGTGGGGGGTGTCGCCGCTGCCCGCTCTGCCGCTGCCGCCGTTGGTGGGGGTGGGTGTGTGTGACTAGGGCGAGTGTCCTGCCCGGGGGGTGGCGCGGGACATGGCGAACTCGACTAATACAAACCCCGTGGTAAGGACCAGGGCCGGGCAGGGGCTCGTGAAGGGGAGGCGGGAGGCCGCTCGGGGCGGGCGGGACGGACGGGTGGAGGGCAGCGGTGGTGGCGGCGGCGGCGAGAGAGAGAGAGAGAGAGACGGCGGGACGAGCCGCAGACCCTCCCGGGCCGACGCCGGAATCTGGGGTGGGGGGTCGGAGCCAGGCTCTGCTGACGGCTCTCTCTCTCTCGCAGCCTGGGAGACGGTGGTGGGCTGCCTGCTCTTGGGTGGTTGTTTTTTCCTCCTCAAAGAATGTTTCTGTGTGCCTTTCTTTTTATTTCTCTTCTTTCTCTACTTTAATATGTCGGTGGTCGAAACCATCCGCGGAGCCTCTTTTCCGTGTGAGATCTATATATGTATATGACGGTGACGGAAGGTTGAAAAGCACTTTTATTACCTCAGCCCGGCAGAAGATTCCCTCTCCTCCTTCTCTCCCCCACCCTTTTCACTCTGCAATATATATATATATATATATGACATTCAGAAGCCGCCTTCTGGTCCATTGGAGGTTTTGTCTTCGTTTGGTCAAGAATTCTTTTTTTTTTTAAAGAAAAAAATAGTAACGAGCCACCCCTCTTCTCTTTTCCCGCCTCCTTTCTCGGCTTCCCGTATCGGCTACTACCGAGGTTGAGTCTCGGTTTCACAGAGGTTTGCAACAAGCAGTCACACGAAAGCAAAAAAAAAAACCCCAAACAAACCCCGCTTTCCGCCCTCTCCCTATCACGATTTCTACATTTTAAAAATCCAAACTCCGATTCACCTCCATCCCCCCCGGCCCGCCCCAGTCGTTGTAGACAAACCCGGAGGCCTGGAGGGTCTGTTGCCGATTTGGCCGCTTCTGTTTTGTGCTCTCGGATCCATCATGGCTTCCCCTTGCTTTTCTCTCTCCCTGCTCCTTGTGTTCCTCCTCCCTGTGGCTGCCCTGTTTATATAGAGCCATTGCCGCTCTCTAATATAGACTCTGCCAGGATGGGAAGGTGCTTTCCAGCCCCACGTCACCGCCTCTCCATTTAAACACCACATCAGCCTTTAAATAGGGAGAGAGCCGCTGAGAGCAGCCAGGGAGGTGCCTGCGCTGCTCAGGCACAGACCGAAAGGCGCTCGCTTTGTCACTGACGAGGCTGTTCGCGCGCTCTCTGTTTAGTCCGCTGCTCATTTCTAAAACTAAAGTTGCTGCGGCTGCCGAATAGCAATGCGGATGGTGTACTGCTAAGTTTCATTTGTTTGTCTTTTCGGATGTCTTTTTACACGTTATGCCAAACAGAGACAATTTCCTTCCTCTTTAACAAAAAAATGTGTGCCCCGTGTTTTCTAGTTATTATCTGTGCAAGTTTTCTTGGAAGTAAGCCCCCACTAAAGTTGATGGGGCTTTATTTTATGTAAACATCCATAGAATTGTAGTTTTGCATACAAAACCAAGATTAGGGCTGTTATTTGTGTGATAAAGTTGATTATGATTCACATTATCTTAAATGTCTTTTGTGCTGAATTATGATGGGGGGAAATAGGCTTGTTGATTTTGTTTTAACCCCATTGGCAGCTTTATGCTGAAATGTTTGGTTTTAAGCATCTTTAGTTCTCTGATTCATAGTTTAGTCAAATTGAAATAGCTGGCTTTATGGCCTACTCTAATTTGGCAGTGCTAAATTATTCTAACAGTTTGACATTATGGGCATTTACTTAGAAGTAAATCCTCATAAGTAAGTGGGATTTACAGTCAAGTAAGTATGGGTAGAACTGTATCTTGAATCTTATTATTTTATTTTTTTTACCTTCAAGGAGTTTGTGAACTAGAGTTTTAGTCCAACTGACAAATTGGCATGGACTAGATTAGTACTTTGGTTGGTTAAATTGTGGTTCAAAGTTACTTGAGTGAGAAATAAGATGGATAGCCTTCCAAACACAGATTGTATTTCAACTAGGAATATATGGTTGAAATAGTAGAGTTCAGTGCAGTGTTGTTGAGTAGTTTCTGACATACGTGAATTGTTTTTGCAATAAAAGCACTGTGTCTGTAAAATCAAACCATTTCAATATTAACAAATGAGATAGTATAACTGAGCTCTTGTTTGATAGACCTGTTTTGAATGAAAGCTTTAAAATACAAATATGGGGTTCATACAAAGATCAACAATGATCTCTGGAGCTAGATCACTAATTCATCATGATGCAAATATACAAAATATTTCCTCAAAATGTTTGAAGTGTTCCAAGCATTGATTTTTGCTTAACAAGAGGTTTTTGTGACTTTTTAAAGCCTAAACTATATAGGTCTGTGATTGAAGATGTTATCAATGATGTGCGAGAAGTCTTTCTGGATGAGGGTGTTGATGAGCAAGTCCTTGTGGAATTGAAAACGGTAAGTTATGTTTACTGCAGGTTACTTAAAGCATTGTTTCCCTTAAACTGAGAGCTTGATATAGGGAAAGGGCAGTCCTGGATTAACAATTATGCAAAATAAGCATGTGTTTAGGACACCAAGGCACCACAGAGGTGCTTACTGCTATTTAGTGTTAAATAAATACAATGTATTCAAAAGTTCCTATTTAATATAGTTGTGGGGTCTGCCTTGGGGGATGGCCTGGAAGAAAACTGAATTTTTTAATCTCTTATTTCATTTTTAGCACATATTGAGTTTTAATGTCTTATCAGTTAAGCAATGGAGGGGCCAAGGGACACCATTGTTGGGCTGTGCTTAGGTGTCCCAGAATTAGGGCCTGGATTGAGCCTCAGTCCCCTGCTAAACCTGTTTCTATAGTAAATAGCTTCTGTAGTTGAATCTTTGGTCGGTTTCCCAGGAGGCTTCAGAACTCCGCTGATGCTGTGGCCTTCTGGTACCGATAACCCTATAAATGGGGGGGGATTGCCTTAGAGGGTATTTATACATTCCAGGAGTGAGTGGTGCCACTATCAGAATCACAATACATAGGGTATCTGAGTCTAGCTTCCTTGACTCTCCTTGTCTTTCTGTGAGCTTCCTGACCCTAGAGAGAGAAAGAAGGGGCGGGATTTGGATCGGTACATTGGGCCAGCTCTAGTCATTTGTACTTTGGCCTGCATCACGTCCATGGCAGTCCTACGTGATGGGTACATCAGTAGGTATGTTAGCAGCTATAGGTCCAAGAAAGATGTATGCCTATGGTTTACTAATGGTCGGGGCTGCTCATCAGTGCCCAGGGGCCTTGATGTCAGTAGCCAGAATATATTCCTTATTTCTTTGGGTTTACACTGTACATAGAATGATAAGTATTGAATTAAGAATTCAGTTTTGTATGCTGCATACCAGGTTTGTATATGTTTGGAAGGTTTTACATTTTGGGTTTAAAATTCAATAAATAAGAGGATTTTAAAAAATAACTATCTCACTTCCTTTATGCATTTAGGATCCCTGCCAGTTTCTCTCCCTTCCCAATGATCACAGTGGGGATGGGAATCCATGAAAAGGTTCCCGCACTTGTAGTTTCCCCAACATTAGGGCACCAGTTGGCCTTAATCTGGCCCTGGGAAAGGGCTTTACTTTTATGTTTAATACTTCTTTATCAAGCATTCAAAGTGCTTCATGTTCATCTCCTGGAATTCTTACAAGTTCATGCAAGGGAAATTGCTGCAGTAGCTGCCTATGGCTATCTAGTGAATTCAAGGCTTAAATTTGAACCAGGGAGATAGCCAGTGTGCTACTCAGGTCCGTAACCAGGAATATTTGAGTTGGGGGGCATTTAAATTTCTCAGGGGGCACTGGCTAACTGGGCACCTCTGCTCCTGGAATGGGAGAGGGAGATCCGGGGCCAGGGCCTCCGGGGAGCAGACTACCTGGAGGTTGGGAGGATGATGCTTCCTGGAGGAGTTTGATGGGCTCCTCTGGAGCACCTCTCTAAGACAGGCACCTGTCTCCACTTGGAGGTCCCTTGCTGCCTGTTCTGATTCTGGAGTTCACTCCCCCCACAAGGCTTGTTGGCTTGATAATTGAGTGCAGAGTGTGCAGCCTCCTTACCTCCTGGTGTGGGTGGGGGAGAGGGGAAGGGAGGAGCCCGGCTTGATGCTTACTCCCCACACCACTCTGCAAGGACCCTCAGCAGCAGGAGCGCTCAGGGCTCTCCATGGGGAGCGGCAGACAGTACGAGCTGTCCCAGGGGAGGCGTGTTTGCTTTGGTTTCCTGGGCTCCTTCTGCACACCCCCTGCCCGCTAAACACCTCGGAAGAGGGAAGGCACACAGAGAAGGGGAGACCGTGCGGCCTCCTTGCAGTAAGTTGAGGGGCCCTGGCAGGAAGTTGGGGGGGAGCGAGTCCTGAGAGGTTCCACTATAGCTATGGGCATGGTGCTACTCCAGCACTCCAGTACAGTTCTGTCTCTTAAGAAGATATGTATCTGTTTAAGATACAAAAATCAGAAAAGGGAATAGAGTTTCCAGTACAAAAGCATCTCTGACCATCTTATACATTGAAGGCAACTGGTTTGAGGAAAGATTATCTGCTTAAATTGGTCATCATTATTGTTCTTTTCATTGTTACAATAGCAAATACTTTTGATTAATTCTTAGTCATGTTGCAAAACATGAACCACTTATCTGATCTCCAATTAATGGTAAAGTTTAGAACTAAATATCACTTTTTGAAACAAGTAGTACCTGGGAGCTCATCTATGCAATTTATATAACCATCATATCTATGTAATCTTCAAATGTTTAAGTGGAGTTTTTGGATATTTTCACACAATATTTATGGCACTGTTACTTCAGATTTCTGTGTTTCTCACATGAAAATTATATATATATGCACTGTGTGATTATTTTGTTTATGTTTTGTAGAGGTCTTTAATTGTGTAGTTTCTTTCCTGCTTCTGTTTAAGATTCTTCATATTATCCTTCTCCAAAATGATGCATCTGGTATTGAAAATGAAATACAGTTGCCGTAATATATACCACATAACTGTTTAGTAAAGATGAAAAATGAGCTATTGCTTGGTTTTTAAATAAACAAAGCTTGTTCTCCAGAACTTTTTTTCAACGTTTTCTTCTCTACTAACATTGAGATTACATTGAAAAATTATTGATGTCTTGCAAATGAAATTTTAGTTAAGTAATATATTTACAATAGGGTAAACAAAATTATTAGATTTTTAAAATATCTCAGATAGTGCTAACATTTCCTATTTTTGAAAAAACAAAGCTGTAAATATCTTCCAAGAAAATGATGAGCATTGCATGTTTGCTTTATTTGCTCCAGTGTAGTGTACTTTTAAGTACTTCTGAAGTTAAAATGAAGAGAGCTTTGTTTCTCAGCTGCTTTCAGTTTCCTTTAGAAACTGCCTTAAGCCCCTACCCATCTAACTTTTGAAATGTTGTACCTGGTTGATGATATAGTTGGATAGAAAAGTGTGTTAAGTGAAATAATGAAGAGAAGAGAATAAAATGTAGGATCTCTGGTCTCCTTTCCTGGAAATTGAATAGATTCTGAATAGTCTCGTAGATCAATAATGGTGTATAAATGGTCAATAATGAAGAGAGCTTTGTTTCTTAGCTGCTTTCAGTTTCCTTTAGAAACTGCCTTAAGCCCCTACCCATCTAACTTTTGAAATGTTGTACCTGGTTGATGATATAGTTGGATAGAAGAGTGTGTTAAGTGAAATAATGAAGAGAAGAGAATAAAATGTAGGATCTCTGGTCTCCTTTCCTGGAAATTGAATAGATTCTGAATAGTCTCGTAGATCAATAATGGTGTAGTGTAATCTGCTTCACTTAATCATTTGCTTGAAGCATTTTTTTCTTTTTAATCACAGCTGTGGGAGAACAAACTGCTGCAGTCCAAGGCTGTTGATGGATTCCATTCTGAGGAACAACAGCTCTTGTTGCAAGTGCAGCAGCAGCAACAGCAGCAGCAACAACAGCAGCAGCACCACCATCATCACCATCACCCGCAACCCCAGCCACAACAGACAGTACAGCAGCAGGCCCAGACACAGCAAGTTCTTATTCCTGCAACACAGCAAGGTACAAGCAGAGTCCTTTACTGGCTTTCTTGGGACATGGGGGAGCAGCAGTTTTTCTGAACAAGTGAAGCCTAATAGGAACACGTTCTCTAAATCTTTCTCTTTCCCACTTATTCTGTAACTCTTCTAGCTTCAGTTTTTCACAGCTTAGCAGATCTTGCCCCATTTTGAAGTTTCAGTGGGTCATAAAGGTATTCTCCAAAAACACAGTAGTTTGAATATGCAGAGCACTGGAGGAAGACTTCATGAGGTAGCAAACATTTCAGCCAAGCAACAATGCTTTAGAACTATCTCTCTTGATTTTTTTGTAACTATTCTATATGAAGATGTTACTGAAGCTGAAGATTATGCAAGTGAAATAGCTAATATGAGGATTGCAGTCTGGCAAGGCACTGGCTATTTTGTTGCAAATGGTCTAGGGACTGTTGTTTAGGTCATGGACAGGTTTAGCCATGCATATACATACTCATGTCATAGGAATATGTCGGGGGGGAAATACAAATTAGTAACGGATTTTGTTCTATTCATAGGGAAGAAGGCATGCATGATCTTACTCTCATAGGTTGGCTTTCTCCCCATTTTGAGTACAGTGATGTGGTCTGTCTGGAAAAATTAGAGTTGGAAAACTTTCCAGTGCTCTAAATAGAGTGTGATCTGATTTAGCATGTTTATTTTAACTTACGTTTAGTACACAAATTTGAAAGTACCCAATGTTAATTTTGCTCCCAGAGTAACTGAAGTATTTGATCTGGGGAAAATAAATCAAGTGTGGTGTTTAAATAATCTGACAAGTTCAAAACTTTGCTTGGAAATTATCTGATTGGGATAATACTTGTAAAGTTTTAAAGGCATGTACTTCCTTTACATTGTTGGGGGGGGGGATACTGAAGGTTCTGAAAACTGACACACTAAATTCAGCATGCCCAAAGAACTGTACACGATGTGCTGTGGACATGGTTGCCCATGCATCTGTTTCAACAGAACCTATGGGCACCTTATCACTTGCATTATTCCATAGCTGATTGGTGATTACAAAATCTCTTTATTCCATGCAAGAGAGAAGATTTATAAGAATGAGTGAGGGCTGTGCAAGGACTTCTTCCTTGCCCATCACAGCCCCCACAGTTTTGTTCCTTCTCCTTGTTCTGTCCATTTGTCCCACCTACCTGGGTTATCCCATCTGCCACTTTTCATATCGTTTGTCCTTCCATTCATCATGCAGCTCTTCTGTTTTTCTGCTTGTAACTCCTTGCAGTCCCTATCCCCACCCTTCCCAGTTGCTCTTTGCTTCTTCCTACTCACCCCTCTCTCTTTTTCCTTTGTCTTGCCTGCCTTTCCACTCCCCCCTTCCCAATTCACCTCCAGTGTTGATGAAACTGTCACGACATCGGGGAGCCCCAACAATGTCAACTGGCTGAGATGTAATTAAATAAAAGAAATTTAATTATACCCAATTGAAAAAAATATTCTTTTTGATAGAATAAATTTAGCACTGGAATAAAATGAATTTGGGTTCTGGACTAGTAATTCACTCCAATGTTTAAAAACAGAATTTAGAATTTTATTTACTAAAAGTGTTGTTCAGTCGCACAGTCAAGTCCAACTCTTTGCAACCCCATGGACCACATCACGCAAGGCCCTCCTGTCTTCTGTCATGCTCCAGAGTTCACTTAATTTCATGTCTGTTGCATCGATAACACTGTCTAACCATCTCATCCTTTGCCGTCCTCTTCTTTTACCTTCAATCTTTCCCAGCATCAGGGTCTTCTCCAGTGAGTGTTCCCTTCTCATTTGGTGGCCAAAGTACTTCAGCTTCAGTATCTGGCCTTCCAGGGAACAGTCAGGGTTGATTTCATTTAGGATTGACTGATTTGATCTCCTTGCAGTCCAAGGGACTCTCAAGAGTTTTCTAACTAGTCTCTAGACACTAACCCTCAGCAGCTTACGGCTCCAAAGTGAATGTTTTGAGTAGCAGTCCTCCCCACAGCATTGATGCAAAAGTGGAAGTTATGAAGAGTGTGAAGGTCCTTCTTCCAACTTCATGTGCTCTTCACCAGTCTGCATCCACTAGCACAATAATGATGTTGTCCTGGGATGATGTCTTCATGTGTATGTTCTGGCTTCTTCACGCTTGCCCTATATGCTAGCCCAGCTGTCCCTTGCTAATTGAGTAACCAATCAGGATGATCAGTTACTTAACCTAGCTGATCTGAGAGGAGGTCTAGATCACTAGCTGTCAAACTGACATTTGAGCTGTAGATGACCAACTGTCAACCAATTACCTTGACAGTTCCCAGCTGCCAGCTATCACATTGGAAGGCAACTACATACAGGTGCTTGATAGATAAAGCTCTTCAATGATTTGGATTACAATCCTGAAATCACTTATACAAGAGGTTTTACCTTTTACAGGATGACAGTTCCAAAATAAATGCAAACGCTTACATACACTGGGGAATTACTTTTGTGACAGAAGTGACAGTGGATATTTGGATTAGCTGAGCTGCCAAGGCAATCTGAAATAGGTGCTGAGATCTAGCATTTTGAAACTTTTAAATTCTCTCACGTGTCTCTAATCTGTGAATTTAATTATCTTTATTACAGTCATGTTCAGAATTAGATATTATTTTAGCTGTGGTTTTGATTTGATCTGTATAACAAATCAGGAGAATTCATAATTTGATTTTTAAAGCACTGGATTATTATATGAGTGGTATGCTCCTCCCTCAAGTAATAAAACACAGTTTCTAGGAATAGCCCACCAAAAAACTTTATTTACAACATTGAAACTCTGAAGCTTCCCTAATATTGTATTGGCAGTTGCATCCATTCATTGTTGTTAATTATGTTCAACCATGAATAATTAGAAATGGAAAATCTGCTGTGGAAACATGAAGCATTGGAAAGTTTTCCAGACAGTGTCTCTGTGCTTGTATGCGGTTGCTTCATACAGAGCCATCTGTTGGTCCATCTAGTATCTGAAGAAGTGTGCATGCACACAAAAGCTTATACCCCTGTACTGGTATTTGCCCACCCAGGCCAGTCCAGGAATGGGAGGGAACCCTGTACTTTTACAGTACATTAAACAACAAACCACGAGATGGTCTATATCCTCTCTGGTTTCCAGAACAATGTGCCACCAGAACCTCTTTTCATTGGTCCCTGCCTTTCCTAAGGGAGAGATTCCAAACCCTTAGTTGGCATCTGGAACAGAACATATTAGCAACTCAATCTAGAGATGCAGACTTTTACTCTCCAATGGTAGCGTATCTGGGGAGCGTTTAGGCCACAGGATTTAGCCTTGGAATTCAAGTTACAACATCAGAGACCCATTAGAAATAAGAATAATTTTTATTCAGTACAGAGCATAGCAAAACAGACTACATAAGAGATTACTGAAAACAAGAAAAACCTATGGCTCTGTGCCTTAACTACACAGTAAAGATATTCATAGTTACCAGTGAAGTGTTCATATTCCAAGAGTGTCCAATGTATACAGTCCAATTAGACACCAAGGGATTTTGAAGAGAAATCCCATCCTTGCACCCATGTGCTCCAGTTCACAAAGCAACTCTTTGTCTCTCACGAGGCAGCCTTTCCAGGTGCAATAAAACAGGCAGCAGGAGGAAGAAGGGAGAGCTAAGCAAGAGAGCAGCCAGAGCAAGCAAAGCTCTCATTCCCATAGGGATCGATCAATTATAGCCCAATTCCAGTCACAATTAGCCGTGGCCATTGCGAGTGGGCATGGGTGTGCCCAATTGTTGGTTGTCATAGCTGCGTGTGGGGATAGGCTAGAAGTTTGGAGACCACGCCTGCAGTCACATGACCCAAACTCCATCTTCTCCATGATGTATGTGACATGGCCCATGTAGCCTTAAAGCAGGCGCCTTGAAGTCTGACTCTTCCACTTAGAGGTGTTAAAGAATGTGTGGTTATATGGCATGGCTATTGAGGTTGTTCAGGCCATTTGGTCTGCCCTGGACCATTTGGCCTGCAACAGGAAAGAGAGGCACAGCATGTTATCAGAAAGACATCACAGGAGAAGGCATGTGAATATAGAAGCAATATTTCTATACAACCCCAAATTAAACTGTTTTGGTCTTGAAGGTGCCACTGGACTCACACTTTGTTCTGTTGCTTCAGACCTATATGGCTACCCACCTGAATCTAGTTCATTAATGTTTAACTCAGTAGCTCTCTGGAGAAAGGTTTTCTAACACCTTCTGCTATAGATCCTTTAAATGGAGATGGCAGGAATTAAACAAGGGACTCTTCTGCATGGGAAAACATATGCTGAGCCATCATTGTATATATAGCCAAACCAGTACACTTGGAGCATTTTTCTGTAGTCAAAATACTGCTTCTAGAATGTTGGGAAATGGGTCATTTCTCAGGAATAAGAGAAGAAGAGAAGAGATTGGATTTATACCCCGCCCTTCACTTGGAATCTCAGAGCGGCTTACAAGCTCCTTTCCCTTCCCCTCCCCACAACAGACACCCTGTGAGGTGGGTGGGGCTGAGAGAACTCTGACACAAACTGCTCTTTTTCAAGGACAGCTGTGCCAGAGCTTGTGACTGACCCAAGGTCACATCAGCAGGTGCAAGCGGAGGAGTGGGGAATCAAATCCGGTTCTCCCAGATTAGAGTCCATGCACTTAACCACTACACCAAACTGGCTCAAGAAAGATGTCTTGGCCCTGTGCAGTACCTAAATAATAACTGTGCATTTATTATGCTATCAAAAATGCTGGGAAAGCCCATGGTGTAAGACAGTGAAAGCTGGACTCGAACCAGTGTTTTCAGCATCTGGGCTCTTAGGTCCCATGTCCCCAACATTCGCTTTTCATTATAAACCTGGCAGATGCCATTTAGCCTGAGCCTACACAAGCACACAGCCAGATGGTTCCAGGGGCCAGTCTCTGCTCACCAGGCTCTAGCCTTAGAGCTCAGTCCTTAGATTGGACAGTTAACTTCTTGATGGAAAATATTGCTTGGATAGTT